CTAGTAAACTGCGCACACTAGCCCATGATTCTTGTGCTTGCAGGTGCTGAACTTGATTAAGAACTGCCCTGTTGCAGAAGGAATGAGTCTTCAAGAGCTAAAATTTCAGCTCCACAATATCAGTATGGCAACAATCAAGTAAGTAAACAGAAACAGAGGTCGTTTTGGTAATTCAGGCTGCCCTTCCTAAACTCTGGTAAAGGAAGGGGGGAAATAGTGGGCAAGATGCTTTCTTGTTAAACCACTCAATTTCAGATATTTACAATAGTGTGTCTTGAAGTGTTTTGAAGTCTTTCAAGGTTAGATGTTGAAGTGTTGATGAAATGTCTCACTTTCACAACAAGTTGTTTAGCACTTCAGTAACGAAGTTGCACATACCTGGGAGTGTAACGGTGCCTCAGCATTATGCACTGTTGTCCGCGTGAGTTTGAGGACTCTCTTGCTCTCCTTGCATATTGGGCAAAATTTGGGAATAGATTTTTTCTCTTTTTCTTCGCTATCTCATAAAACTTCTTCTTCTTCCAAGGCAAGCGGTTGAATTCCTTAGCAGCGAGGGACATATCTACTCAACTGTCGATGATGATCACTATAAGTCTACAGATGCCGAGTGAAGCTGGATTTGGTTCTAAACAATATTTCCACCCGGATTTCATTCTAAATAAATGCCTGTCTGTGCTTCAAGTTACCCTGCCAAGCTTTACGGCGTGGGAGATGGCTTTGCTCCTTCTGGCCCTCGCAAGTCACCGTTACTCTGAGCACGTACGTTGTCGATTCAAGGACAAGCCAAATGCACAGAGTTCTGTCACTCAGGTACTGTGCTGAGGCCAGATGGTTGAAAGCGTGAATAGGGAAAAACTGAACTCTTCAAAACTGCAGAGTTTTACTTTTTGTTTTGTTTTTTTTTGTTGTTTGTTTCCTAATAGAGTTACCTGGGTTAGAAAGGAGAACTTCTTTCTAATTTTGTCGTGGGGAGATGATATTTTGTTTCTGGATTAGTTTCTCCTAACTCAGCTTTCATTCCATTTCTTTCACAAAGTGAGTAGCTAACGACGATGTTCCACTGATATACAGTAATCAAGACTAGATTTTTTTAAAAAATGACTTTAGTCCGTGAATTAAACCTATATTTGTACTACAGGAAGATCTTGTTACCACAACTTTTGAATATTTCCAATAAAATTCTAACTTGAGTAGTTTTGCATGTGGTTGTGGCTCTGCAGGCATTTGTTCTTTCTAAAGCATCTACATTGGTAAAACTTACCCAGCTGGGTAAAAAAACAGCACATGCTTTCACATGGGTTGTTTGTTTTTAGTTTTTTTTTTTTTTTCTTGAGTTTTGAAATAATTTACTCTAAAAGGTTAAAATAAACGCAGTGTCTGAACTAAGAGATTAAAAAATCCTACTACTGGAAGGAGTTACCAGTTGCATCACTGGCTTCCAAATACTGCCAGAATCATTTTTGTTAAGATGAGCACTTTTGCTCAAGCTAAAAAGAATTACATCCTGTGTAACAAAATTTAAAAAAAAAAAAAAAATTAAGAAATGATAATAAAAACACTGCAAGATGTGGGGTGGCGGGGGAGAAGAGATGTTGAAATTGGTGGTGAAGGTCCCTTCCAACCTTAACCATTCTGTGAGATCAGATCTGTGTTTCCTGTTTCTGCAGCTGATCTGCCTCATTGAGGGGAGCAGCGCTCACGAGGGCAGCTGCTTCAGCCTATCCTCCTAGTCATTATGTGCTTCACATCCTGCAAACTCAGAGCTGAAAACTGCCTCGTGGGAGCCGTTTTACATTCATTAATAGCAGCGTTTGAGAAGGTCATAAATATTCAGGGCGTTTTTCGCAGTGACAGCCTGAGGAAGGTAACGCTCCTCGGTTCGGGAACCAGGGTCTCCGTGGCCGCTGCCTTCGGCGCTGCTGAGCAGCAGGGCTGGGATCGAGAAGCTGCAAGGCCCTCGGTGCCGGCCGCCTGGGAGCCCTGGTTTCTGCATCGTGTTGCTCCAGCACTGGAGAACTGCCCGTGCTGGCTCCTGCGTGCGCCGTTGGGTCTGTGTTCGCAGGAGCTGGGCAAGTTTGGGTTTCATAGGAGCTGCAAATCAGGGGCTTGAGGGCAGGTTTTTATCTGTGACTAATGACGTGACCTACCTCTGAAAAAGCAATTCCTGGGCTGTGTGTTCGTGGTGCTGGCTTTGCTGTTCAGTGCATTTGCTTCTGTTTATGCTGTAGCAAAACCAGTATATCCTGTTGAGGTTAAGACAGCAATACAGCTCTATCTGGCGATGTATTTTGGGGGTGAGTTTGCACTAGATGTGTATAACAGGTGAAATTCCATGCTATGGGAACTAGTGGATCTAGAAATCAAAAGTAACACAATTTCCCTTTTGCAGGAGGTTTGCAGATTAGGAAGCAAAGCTGATCATTTATGGATGCTCAAATAAGTGAACTTCAGAGTAGTTATGACACTGACCAGAATAATTATGTGACTGGAGAGTAAGCTGGTAATTCTTTCCTTAGTTGCCCATTTGCTGTTTATTAAAAATGTCCGAAAGTGTCTGCTTTTGTCTGACTACTGGGAGGATTTGGAATAAAGCTTGGATCTGTTGGGAAGAAATGTGAGTTCTTTTGGGGGGTGGGAGGGGGTTTAATTTGAAAATATTAGTGAAATTAGATCAAAACTCAGGGAATGCTTTTGGTTCTAATAAAGGAGATGAAAAAAAATGAATATTTTCAATTGTTCTAATTTTTATGTTCTCTTGCCTCTTCTCCATGGCTGGAGCCTGTCTCTTTTCCGAGCCATTTGGGGATTAGTTCTTATTATAGGATGATGAAAAATGTTCCTGGAGTTGTTTAAATGCTTCTTCATAAGAAGGCAGGCCAGGTAAGAAACTAGTTTTTCCCTGTCCTGGTGTATATTCAGGCCTGATTCTGAATGTAAACCCTAGGGCAGAATCAGAGTAGAAGACAGCAGCCCAAATCCCAGCTAAGACTGGGAACGAAAATCCTTTCTGACTTTGTGAATTTGTGAACCTACCCCAGATTCCAGGTGAGGAATGCCATGGACCAAAGAACAGTTGAACCTAAAACCCCCCTTTCCTGGGAGAGGAACAAAACAGTTTTATCTCCGATGAAGTTTGAAATTTATTTTCCATCTTAAAACTGCCATCTTGTTGAGAAATCAGGACTGAGGAGTGAGTTTGACTAGCACTGAGAAAATGCAGCTTCTGTCTGTTAAGGTGTTTCTTAATGTGCTATCGTAACGGGAGTCACCAGTTTGGGTTCCAAGGGGAGCACTGTTGGCACCAAGTCTGAAAAGGATGGGCACAAACTACACGTGTGGAAGTGTCCAGCATCTCAACTACAGATCCCCTCTCTGAACTCCATGGTTAGGCACTTCAGAGGAGACCAAGTTGCTCAGCATCTTCCCAAACGCACCCACGTCTGGTTTAAAACCAGGGATGCTTGGGATGGAAATGGGCTGGCGTCGGTGGCAGCGGTGTCCCCAGCTGTGCCTTAGCTGCTGGGTATAGGGCCATGTGCAGAAAGCCACTGCTGGGTGTTTCATGAGCCTCTGACAGCGCCCAGCCAAGGTACCACAGGTGACATAAATACAATAAAGTGTTAGTTGGGAAAGTTTTTCAGTTTGAAATGGGCATAGACATGACATATTCACCACTAAGGATCCTATTCAAGCTACGTGCAGGCCATGTCTTGATGTCCATGTAGTGGAGCAGCGCAAGAGCCTTGGCTGATGCTTCGGTGGCTGCTCAGTCCCTGGTTTGGGTCCCCCTGTGCGTGCTGGAGCTGAGGGGTCCCAGTGCAGGGCACCCCGGCTAGCTGGGGTCCAGCAGGGACCTATCCCGCATGCACAGCTGACCAGGGCAAACAGACTGCGTTAGGGTAAGTAGGGATCGTTTACCTGTTAGGATAGGGGCCGTTGGAGGCTGCACTGCGGATCCATTTGACTGTATTTAGCTTTTGCAAATAGCAAGTTTAATTTAGGACCTATGGAGGATCCCATAAACTAGAGGTTTAGAAAGGAAAGACAGTCTGCATTTTACGAATTGTCTTTTGAAGATCTTCATCAACTACTTCATAGTTGTGGTCAGAATCATCGTTCTCCACACCTAGAAGAGAACAGAAGGACTGGGTAAGTGCATGGTGCTGAAGGTCCATGGTTAAGCCCTGCAGCGGGCCGGGGGGCTCCTGCTGAGGATTAAGTGGCGAGGAGCCGTGCAGGGAGCAGGCGCCATGGTGGCCTCACCTTTGTCCTCTGGGCGCCTGCTCGACTGCGATCCTCTCCGCGGGGGCTGCGTGCTGTACTCGTTGGGGGTGCTCAGTGAGATGGAGGAGCTTCTTGTTTTCTGCAACGAGGGAGACGTGGCCATGGCCCGGGAAGGTGGCTGCAGAGAAACGACACGAGTTTCTGACTGCCAACGCGGAGCCTCGGCAGTGGCGGGTGCTGTGGGATCTGGGGTTGGGGGGCACCTTCCCCCAGGAAGCATCATCCCTTCCTCCCGCTTCCCTGCCAGGAAGGTACCTTCACTTTCTCAGGGCTGTTTCCTTTGGCTGTCCTGAGACCTGCCTTGCCCACAGCCTCCTTCGTCTTGGGGGGCCGCGGAGGAGGAGGAGCCGAACCGCCTGGCAACTGCTTCAGCAAGTGGTAGTAGAAATGCTCGTTCAGCTCCTCGACCCGTGACCAGTCCACAGAGGGGGGCTGGGGGTGGACAGGCTCCTCCGTGAAAAACAGGGACATGTCCAGCCACCGCGGTGGGACCTCAAAGCTCTCGCCTGGCTCCTCGCAGAAGCTGCTGACCAAGAAGGGCTCGGTGACACGTGCCTCCAGCCGCAAGGCGGAGAAGGAGCTGAGGACGTCGCGGGTGAGCGAGGGGTCCTTGGCCACCACTTTGACCTCGCAGGGCAGCGGGAGCTGCTCCAGGACCTCCTCTAGGCTGTACTTCTTGCTGTCGCACACCTCCTCCACAAAGCTGCCTCCCAGGGTTAGAGGCAGCACCAGCTCTTCGCTCTCCTCCCCCTCGTCTTCCTCGCTGCTGCACCGCGTGCAGAGCAGCGCGGTGCTGCCGGCGCCGGCCTGCCGCAGGCAGCGCGCGGCCAGCCGGGCGCCC